CCTTGCGAGGACTGCGCCGGCTAAAGTCGCGCAGCTCAATAGAGATCCACTCATAAGTGTCTGCCAGTAGCAAGTGTAATTACAAACAGGCACATGTAAAAGTCAAGAGAATACAAATCACATAATAGATGTCTTGTGGGTACTGAGCAAACAGCCTTGTGACGCGTTTGCACATAAAAGACACAATGCAGGAGAGCACAAAGACAAAAACACTGGAGCACAACTGTAGGGAATTATCCAAGTGTCTACCTATGTGTTAACAATAGATGAAGTGTTATGCACAGATCAGCAAAACTGATTTATGCTTTTGAGAACGAATGACAAAGGAAGCCCTGCATAATTAATAATGTGTGTCCGGCTTTCCACAGGCTCTTTAACATTCCAGACAAATTCAACACTGTGTTAAGAGAAAGTCTTGAATGGGGGTCATTTGGAAAGTCTTCTAGTGTGTGTGTGTGTGTGTGTGTGTGTACATGTATGGCGGCAGGTTTCCGTTTGTGCGCCAAAACAGCAGGTCACATCAAGGACAAGATCCCAGCAGCGAGGACAGACTGTAGCCCGCTAAACAAAAGCGAGCAGTGAAATTCAATAGGCCCGGTGGCCACGCCAACACCAGGGGCCACTGCAGTGTTCACAACCAGCGCCGCTCTGCACGGTTATTCATCACGTCTCGGTGCATATTCAGCTCCGTTTGTTGTTTTTCTTTCCCACAGACAAATCCAGTTTTGTTTGAGTAAAGTAGCGCTCTACAGCAGAAGAGACAAAAAGCTTGCTTTCTTGGCGGGGTGGGGGTGGGGGTGGGGGTGGGGGGGCACTACAACAAAACAAAAAAAAAAAGCTCATTTAAGCTTTCCTGTTGGCAGGCATCCTCATTTCTGAAGTGTCAGTGGGCAAGACTCCTGAATCCTCCCGGTGGGTGCAGTTCATCAGCGTGCGTGCCGAGCCCCGGGAGGCAGCAGAGAAAAAGGAGAATTTGAGATAGGGATCAATGAAAAGCCAAAAGGGTAGCAGAGAAATTGAAAGTGAAGTCTGCAGATTCAGTTTTTGTGCCGTGCTGCATCACACTGCTCGGATGCACTGCGGACTCGTTATTGCTCCGTTTGTTCCTGTCACTTATTGTGTCTGACTTGATGCATTTGAATTAATTGTCTTACGATGGAAACATACCGTGGATGGCTTCAAAAAGGGAGGGAGACATGCATTGTTGTTCGACACCCAACACTCCCACTGCCATGAATGAGATGCTGCACATGCACACTTTACTTTCCTTTATCTGTAGAGGCAATAACCTTTCAGCTTCAAATACACTTACACTATCATTGCTGTATGATGAATTTCCGGTTTAAAATCTCATTAATCATGAAAAAATGAAAACATACGGATGAACCGAATTAAGACGTCACTCATGGATGACAGTGATGTTTATACACAACGTCCCATATGTTTATTTACACAATTAAAACTGACCACAACATGTATGATTCAGTTTTATCATTTCAGGTCTTCTCTCTCCTCAGCTCTGCCTCTATGCCTGAGGCCACACACACACACACACACACACACACGGGCGGCTGATGACACAGTGAACCCGCTCCCAGATTACTGAAGTGAAGTCAACTACGTTTGTTACCGTGCGATAAAAACTAAACAGCAGATAAGCACTTTACCAGTTCAATAAACGTGTAGAACACAGATGTCTTCAACTGTTAAGTCTCTCAGCATGTTTTGGAGGCTTTCTTAAAATACCGTCGTCTAAATATTCATGTAAAAACTCCGGCCCTGCTGCTTTCATCATTTCATCCAAGGTGCTCGGATGCTTGTGCTGCTGTTGCTAAGCTACCAGAATCACGTTTACAATTTAGCAGTCAGCATCAGTGACTAAACTAACGTAAGGAAATAGTTAAAACAAAGATGAATTGATTTCTAACACTGTAAATTCCTCCCAGTAGCTTTTTCTGCTTGATTTTTCTGTGGAAAAGAAGAAATGTTCAGGTCCAAAAATCATTTATCTGACACAAAAGGGGGAGTGAATAAAAAACAAATAGAAAATCTTTCAACCAAATTGTTATTTTTGACATCGGTGCTTGCTTAGATTTTCAAAACCGTTGTATCCCTGATTCCATTATTTAATTCTAACCAAAAAATGAGTTATTATCAGTTTTGTTGTTTTTGTTCTTTGTATTTGTTTAACTTCTTTGTTCGGTATCGACCACAGAGTTTGTTTTTCAATCTTTCTTTTGGGATGACAGTTCGGTCTCGTCTAAAATATCTAGTGGGTAGATTGCCATGAGAGTTTGGCACAGATATCCATGAAGTCGGGTGAATTATAATGAATTCTGCTCTTTGTTGTTGTTAATTGTTTCTATTTTACTGTTGACATCCCTGAAGGCTGTGTTCATATGCTTCGTGGTCGGCATTCGGTTTTTGACATCATCATCATTTGAGTCCAATCATCACGCAAATATTTGAATCGCTCCAACACAACGTTTTGTATGCAAGTGCAGGAAAAAAATGGTGTTTGAACCCCAGCACGGTCCCAAGGTCACCTCTCAGGACGGAGCTCCTCTCCAATCTCTCAGTACAGACACTGGTCCTGTTTGTTTGCTCCACACAAGCTGTTCATTTCCACATGATAACTTTTGGATGAGCAAAATGTCACAGCAACACGTTGACCGTGCTCTGAGCAGTCACAGTGAGCGACAGAGGTCAACAAAGGTCATAACAGGGAGTGGAGTGGAAGGAGAGCACGCTTAATAATTGTGCATGTGTGCATCCCTGTGTGTATTCAACATATATGCATCATGGGGAGTGTGAAGTGAACCTTCGCAGTTTTTCCTTCGCGGCAATGACAAACCTCCATCTCAGCTGGTTTGGCTCGTCGATGAGTTGTGTTTGGATGCGTGTGCACGCCTGTGATTGGTCCTGTGCTTCAGTGTGTGTGAGAGGGAAGTGTGGGCTGAATGTGTTGACCTGGTTATCGTTTTGTGCGGCGCCGGGGAGCGGAGACAGGGCGATACAGGTTTTAGAATGCGAGGTGCCAATCGAGCTGTGAAAATGGGAATTGAGCAGGGAAATGGGAATAGCTCCCCTCTGGTTTGTAACCTTTGCAGTGTTGTTTGGAGCATTCAGTGTATGCATACATCATTCATTCAATCAAAATGTGTGTGTGTGTGTGTGTGTGTGTCAGTGATTACATTATGTGTCTTTTCTTCATGTGTGTGTCTTACAGTGTACATAGGGTAGTGTGTAATTATGACAGCATGTCACGCCCGTCTCCGAGCCCTGGAACTGAATTGAATTAACCTAAATAGAGTCTAGTGTCTAGAGTACAGTGCACTAGAAAGGGAACAGCTTGAACTGAGATCTGTCTTCGTCTGAGGCAGAAAACATGAGCACAGCAAACCTTACTCCACAGTACAAAACCACAGATAAACAAAAAACTTGACAGTTTTTGGACACGACGGTTAATGTGCGACTCCCCCTCTCCCAGCGCCTTCAGAGAGTGAGTGAGAGAGAGAGAGAGAGAGAGCGTTCGCGATGCACCGAGCCAGTTCCGGGATTCTTGGCCGGCCGAGATAGAACAACAACAACAGCGGCAGCAGCGGCAGCAGCCATTAATGCGATTACAGCTTTTAGCGGGAGATTTTACGGAGCCAGTTTTCTTTAGAGGCGTCATTAGTTTGTCGGAATGTCAGCAAACAAAACGTTCACAGCCATGAGCAACAGACGCACGGCTACTGTAACTGTCTATACACACACAACAATGAAAAACACGTGCACTGCTGCACACACTTATTCATACAGGCATGAATATATGAATGCACAAGTATGAATGTAGCCTATATACTGTGGCTTATCCACACTTGTGTTCAAAAACATGCAGTAAAAGAAAAAGAAAATGCATAATTAGCTTTTAGGAGATGATAAATTATGACTTAATGTTGTCAGCACTTCTCTGGACTTCCTGCAATGCCATCTGAAAACCTTTTGATTAGCAATCCATGGTGTTCACGAGAATCCTGAAGCCTCCCTCATTATTCTTTGTAATCAAACCACGCGTCTTCCTTTAATTTGAAATACCACATTTCCCATCCATTTATCTGTGTATTGTCACCTCGGGTCTCATCTCGTAGTCGGCTCCCGTTCGGCGTGCTTAGCGCGTCTTTGTCTTTTTTGTGTAGCTATTTAACAACCTTGAGGTGCTTCTTAGCTCCTGACTGCCGCAGCTTCGTTTCATAAAGTCACCATTTATTAAACCTCAAGGCTAGACCGCAGCAAGAAAAAAAAAACAAACCTACTGAGATATTGAGGTCATCTTACAGGCAGAGGGAGAAAGAGATAGAGGGGAGGACACAAGCGGAGGTATATCTGGTGTCGTGCTGTGATTTGGCGGAGTTGAGACGGACAGAGCCTGGTCTTAGTGGGGAGCTGCAATATCACTTTGTTTGCAGAGCGAGCGAGCTCACAAAATTGACTTCAAACTATTTTAAAGTTTTCCCCCCCTCACCTGAGTGTCAAACACACCTCTCAGATGCAGAAGTTCACGCTCCACCTATCGGCTCTCAGGATGTGTGTCTGCACTTGTGTGTGTTTGTGCCGTTGTAAGCATGTGCCTGTGTTGTGTGTATTGGTAGGCAGGATGAGCATCCCTTCTGTTACTGTTGCTGTCCCTTCATTTCACGCCCCAGCAGCTCCGCATGAATCCTCTTCCCTTGGCTCATTATCAGTGCTGTTCAATGAACGCACATCCCACCAGAATGCAGGGAAAAACCAAATCATTATTCAAGTATGGGGGTCAGTGCAGACATTGTGACTCATTTGTTTAGTATATTTATTATTTTCCCTTCAGAAAAGAAGTGAGCGGGATGCAGAGCACATCCTCGCCCAGCCTGGTTTGGCATCCTCAAGGACCTGACCTGAGATTGATGAACACCAGCGAAGCGTTTGGTGCCATTACTGTACACTCATTGCTCCTCTGTCTTTTTTCTTTTTCTTGGAAGGGTCCAGTTTGCAAGGAGCGGAAATCGGACACCTGCCGGATAACATAACAGTGTTGGAGGGAGAAAGCGTCATTTTGAGGTAACTCTTGATCCGACACCTGCACCTTCTAATTACATGAAAACATGTTTGTTTCCCTACCCACACCTGTCACACTGGTTTAATTACCTCTTCCTTCTCGTATAAATCCCATATTGTGCCATAATTTAGTTTTTTTTCTGATAGCTAATGAAATAATAAGACCTGTCAGATTTTGTTTTATTAATGGCTGCTGCACACTGTTGGATGTCAGATGCCACCCTGCTGGCGATCAGGGGGGTGTTGCAGACTCATTTTAACAGATTATCTGGACAAATTATCCTCAATGGGGGGCTGGGGGGGTTATAGACATAATCTAAGGCTACATTCAAAAACAATCGGCCTGAACGCATATCATGCGACCCTTTACGTACTCTGGCCATGCATGTGCACGCAGGAAGCATTAGCTAGTTAGTTGCAGAAAGAGCCAGGCTTCAAACGAGAAGCAGCAATGCACTGACCGAGAACTTTTCCGTGACTTGCTCCCTAACTTGTAGCTATCGTCTCTGCGTCTGTGGAGTACGTTTCCCCAGCCGAAGACTGTCAACAGCAGTCTGCACGGGCAGGTTGCACAGGCAGGCAGGTCGGTTAGTGACTGACAGGTACGCAAGCCTATCATTTCTGTCTGTGAAAATGAAATGATTGGTCTTGTTTGTTACAGTCCTGCACGAGCCACAAACACCGACATGGCTATGAGCAGCAGACATTAGATTTAATGATGCACAGGTCAGTGTGTGCACCTCTGCTGCACCCAACCACACCTGCCTCACTGTGAATGATAGGAAAACAGCTCACAACCAAGCAGACAAACAGCCAACGCACTTCCCCCCTGCACAGGGACGTGACCTGGTTTGACAGCGCACTCAGCAGCAGATAAAAAATAAATCCATGTCAACTTTAGTTTTGTCACCTTTAAGCCAAAGTTTCCAGATCTCTGCACAAATTCCTCCCTTTTCTCTCCTTAAAGAAACGCAGAGCTTCCTAGAAAATAAAATATGTCATTCCATAGCAACGTTCTGTCAATGTAGAACATCAACAAGCCTCCCTCTGAGTTAGAAATCAAAAGAACCAAGATGCTGATTTGTAATGACAAGATGTTCGGCCTAAAGATCTATAGATGCAGTGCAGAAGTCAGATGTATGGAGTTTATTTTGGTGTTTTCGTACATAAAACAGTTTATCACCTCCTGCCAAGGAGATTTTGTTTTCAAGATCACAAAAACATTTGCTGGAAGGATGAAGTATGGGTCAAGGAAGAACTCATTTAGATCTTGGGATGGACCCATGCATTTTCTTTCAATCCTTTTAATGTTAATATAATGTGAAAGAAAATAGGCAGTCTTTCAACATTTTCATTTATCTCTTAGAGAATAATTTACGGATCTTGATTATAAAAAGATCAGACATGTTTAGGGGACTGATATTTATGAGTGTGTGTAATTTGGTGCAGATCCAAGTAAAAATCCAGATCTAGTGAGTTTTAAATGTGGTTTCATAAAAGGGACTGTACTCAGAGGTATGCACTGTACTGAGCGCCATAATATTTTAACAAGGCTTAAAATACCATAAAACTGACAACTCACAAAAATAAATCAACTAAAGATTAGATAGGTCTGAGGGGGAAAAATGACTACTGCTTTAGACTGTACTTGCAGTTTATCTAGTCTAATCTATCTTCGAGTTTGATTGTACTGCACAGATCTGCCTTCCTCTTCATCAGTGGATCTGATTGATTTTGAAATCAGTCAGTTCTGAACAGCTGATAAAAGAGCTTTATAAATAAAGAAACTCATGTGAAATTCACTTCCACCCAAGTGGCACAAACACTCATGTAATGTTTGAGTCAATGCTGTTGTGTTGACTTTGATGCGGGCCATTAAGACAAGGAACATTTGATGCTATTACGGTGCTCATTTCCTGCAGGCCCACAGTCCTGTAGCAACATCATCAGTACAGAAGTGATTCATTTTAAAAATAGAATAATAGAGGGTTTGTACACAGATGAATTTTTAATGGCAGGATTTCTCGGACTGCTTCTTTATATAAACTCACCAGTCACACACTGAATCTTGAAGCTAAATATATTTCCTCTCTTGTTCCTTTATTTCCTAACTTGTGTGTAGAGGTTTGACCCCGAGGTCACATGTCAGCCTGTGTCTGTTTGTCGAAGACTTCCAGGTTCATCTGTACCGTGGTTCTTATTCACTGTTGTGTCACCGACGGCCACCGACTTGGCAGCTGATCTAACATCTACCTCCACGTTGATATTTATCCAGGTCTCATCAATTAAACAAAGTCCTACAGAGGCATGTCTTCAAACTAGTTGAAGCTAAGGACATCTAGTGGCCAAGCTAAGAACTGAAGTCACACCTTGGGCCAGTGGCTGCTGTTCTGCATCGTTGAAAAAAGGACATTTTGATTTACTGCTCTTTAATCACAGCAGCACTATTATTTTGGATTTTTCAAACCGGTCATCATTTCCATATACTGTATGTCTCTATTTATCGTTATTTACTATTAAGTATGAGTCCATGGACACTTCCGGGCATATGGCCAGTGGAAATATCAATATTCTTTGCATTTAGAGTGCAGAAAGTCTTATCTGTAGCCAGAACAAAGAGTAATGGGGTGATGGTCGTACGTGCTACAGACTGATTCCATTCAACACTTTTCTTACCGAGCCATTTTTTAAATGTTTGACCCATTTTGCTGCACCATTGAAACAGGAGTAATGCATTCAATTTTCTACTTTTGTTGTTTTACAAAAGAAGATAGAAAGTTTTGAAATAAAGGGACATATTCAAAAACGGTGCACAGATGCTGCCCGGACGACTTATGAAAGACACTTTTATTTGTATAGCCTCTATTCACAAATCCTAATATTCCCATAGGAGTAAAACAAGATGTGACGTCCTCTGTCCTTAACCCTTAAGCTTGAGAAGAAAAAACATTTAAAACTTGAAATTTTTTGAGGAATCTAAATAAATGTATTTAAACTAAAGAAATGGTGTGAAAGAGATGAAGGGAGCAGTTGTAATGGCATCAGTAGAAGTGATGTTACTGTATGTCGGCCAGATGGGAGGTTCCAGATCCACCCATTTGTATATCTGCTACCTGCTGTAATAATATGAACCCTCTCACAGATGCCGGATCAACGAGGAGGTGACCCACAAGGCCTGGCTGAATCGCTCCAACATCCTGTTCGCGGGGAAAGACAAGTGGTCGCTGGACAAACGCGTGACGATGGTCAACAGCAACGACAGCGACTTCTCCATCAACATCGACAACGTGCAAGTGACCGACGAGGGGCCCTACACCTGCACCTTTCAGGCCAACAACCAGCCCCACATCGCCCACGTCTACCTCATCGTCCAAGGTTGGCCGCCGCGTTGAGACGAAATACGAATCAGTCGCGAGTGAGGTGTTCAAGTCGTGACTCATTTCCCCAATATACCCAGAGTCTGCAGATTTGATTACCACTGCTGCAAAAGCAGAACGTGTGTGTGCTCATGTTACTGTAAGCTGCCTCAGATAAAAACATCCGCTAAATGGCTTAATTATGCTTTTCGTCACTCATCCAAGCGTAGAGCTGAGTACTGGGTGAGATTGAGGTTTGACATCAGGGGGAAGCAATTAAGCTTTTCTAATGGTTATGTTTCAGTGTTTCTTTTCTGTTAAGTCATGTTTACATCTATGCCTAAAATTCATGTTGGACAACTCACTACTCAATGTTCATGATGTTTGTGTATTTAAGGCTGGCATTTATAGCGACATCAAAATGTAATCACGTAATTATGCCTCAAAGGCTACATTGGCCCGTCTGTGTGTGTGTCTGCAGAAAATAAAGCCAGTGCAGGTGACGGAAAACCAGAAAGTCCGCTGCGATAACAATACAAATATGCGACCTGATAAGGTTTCAAGAGAAAGTTAGGCAGATCAGATGAGTATGTGTGTGGAGGAGACAAGGTACAGAAGTAACTGTCCAGCTACCCGACTAAATAAGTGACAGTGCACAAACACAACTGGGGCCTCAGTCATCAAGTCAGCGGCTAAGTGAGTGAGAGTCGGCCTGATCCTGAGTGACATGATGCATTGTTTTAGGACTGCCCGCAGGATGGATCTTGGACCTTTCCCCCCTGCAGACGGCAATTACATGTCACCGGCAGGATGAAGCTGAAAACTTTTAACAGGATGTATTGGGTACATTGCGCCGGAATGAAAAGGCGAGGCCTCGTAGCTCACAGGTGGCAGAGACAATGTGAGCTGCGTACTAAAGAGAGACTTTCCACATTGCAATGCAGCCAAACACACACTGCTGTCTGCAAGGCCCAAAGCCTGGCACACATCCCCCGATATACCTAATTCCAAGTCCCTTGCAATTTCAGCCCGAGCTTGATATCACACAAAATAATTACACCCTCAAGTCAACGCATCAAGCAGGAGCAGCTCTGCCGCCACTCCAATCTGTGCTTTATTGCAGCAAGTATTCAACCTCTGCAAAATAGTGAAAAATAGGATTCTTGGTAGATGTTTCACACAAAAAAAATTATTCTCAGGGTCAGTGAAATGAATGATAATGGGCCATTTAAATTCAAGGGCCATCTTGTTATCAAACTAACTACATGCATAGTGCTTGAACACTAAGTGTGTTTTAGAGCAAAACGGTATTCAGGGGTGTTCATTCATTTAAAATGCAGAAGCAAAAGTGTTCGTTCACGACTTGTACGAGGATGAAATTAGATTAGATGTCAGGAGGAGGACACGTTAATGGCCGTTTTAGGATTCAGTGCATTCTGGGTAGACGGTCAAGACTATTGTTGCATGCATAGTTCAGTGAGAGCTCATGCACAGATCATTACTCAGCTGATTGGTTGTCTGTCGAAAAAAACGTGCAGGGATTTGCATTTAAGGAATAAAAGGGGATCGTATCTTAGTGTGATCTTGTTTTTCAGTGCCGGCCAGAATCGTCAACATCTCAAAGAACGTGTCCGTGAACGAGGGGGAGAATGTGAACCTCTACTGTCTGGCAGTGGGTCGGCCTGAGCCCACCGTCACCTGGAAGGACCAGAAATGTAAGCTACCCCCTTCCTGTTTGCTCGTCTTAACATCCAGAGATGGCTTGTTCACAGCTTCACCTTCATCCCAAAGCCTGCTCAGTCTTTTGTAGTCTTATTTTCTTTTCCAGCCTCAAGAGCTTATCAGCATTCAGCTCGTGCCCATGTCTTTATCCCCCATTCCTGTGTCATCATTCTTAAACCCAGCTGTTCAGTCTGTCCCGGTCTTAAATTCATGCTGCCGTATTTTCCCAATGTCCTGATGTTTTGTCCCAAAAAAACGCAGCACATTATACGTAATTACACCCACCACGCCACCCGTAATCATCAGCATCTGTCTTCATCCAGCCTGTCACCTGGCATGACGCTCGCAGCTATTTCTTGTTGAATCCAAACCAGTTCAGCGTGGTCAAGGTGCACTCTCAAAACATCTTTGGATTTTACTTGAAGCTGAGGGGATTATTAATATTGACTTTACCCTGTTCTGAAAGTCAAAGTCTGGACTCTTTGTGAGGCTGTTATTGCATCTGTGTCACCAGGAGTCACCATTAAAGTACTGTATCACACAACGGCATTAGTCGAGTTGTAGCAGCGGCAAAAACACGGTTCAAATGCGCAAACGAGACGGCAATAATAAATAGGTCAGTGTGAACAACCGCTCCAACGCGATGTGAGTGATGCTTTTGGGCCAATAAATACACAAGCTACTGTACTGCTGTGCTTACAGACAGCTCTGGGCTTGCTCAGAGGTCCTTTCCTCCTCTCTCCCCTGTTTATCCCTGGGTTAGCCTGCAGTGCATGCAGTGTCCTTCCCTGCACTGTTAGTTTGTGAACCTACACAGTACAGCACCTCGGGCATGGACAAGCACGGCAGCAACGCACACACACACACGAATAAAAGGAGAAAAGAAAAAAGTCATGCATGAACGCACACCTGCAGCAAACACACACACACACACACACAACCTTACATCAGAGTCTGTGTAGTCGCTCTCACTTGCGAGCCCACAGCATTTTTCCCTCTGTCAGCAGTAATCCTTCCTCTCTAACCACCCCCACCATCTCACACCGCCTCTCCGCCTCTCTACCCCATAACCCCTCAGCTTGCAGAGAAAGAGAGAGATATGGGCCGCATTGCTATTCCACGAGAGTCTCTGCAACCAAGCCATCAGTTGTAGGAGACTAGCGAGGGTGGAAAAAAGGGGGGAGCGGCCCAAAGAAACAGTGAGAAGCTGCCAGCCATCTGTCCCCATTACTCAGAGACTGCAGGGACGGAGGGGAGAGCAGTGCATGTTGAGGTGGTGTTTGCATTATGGAGGTGGTTGAGTAGGAGGAGCTATTTGCATCACCTCAGACAAGAGACCTGCTAAAACTTCTCTGAGGTGAGCAGAGTCTCTCCTCACATGCAGATGGTACAGCCATGAACTTTTGCACGTTTATATCCAGATGCCGCCTCCAGCATCTTAACTGTGGAGATACAGTTTGTCGCACCTGTTCTCTTTTGCCTGCGTCCATCAGTTTTAAACACAGGCAGGCTCACAGAACGAATGGATTCTTGTGTCGCTGAGGAGGAAAAGCGATGTGCTTGTGCTGCACATAAATAAAATCGTGATGTGACGATAACCGTATGAGGTGTATTTATATTTGAGTTTTGTTGAGATAAAATAAATGAGCTGTTGTTGTGGAGAGGATGCATTTAAACTGGGGTTTCTTGCAACTAGCAAGCAGAGCACAGAAGGAAAGTTGCACTCAGTAGTTACCATACAGGATCTAAAGAGAAAATCATACACCCCTTTGAAACCACATTTAACTCTGAGAAATCAACAAAAAAACATCCCATCACGTTGAATGTGTTCATCCCTGACTCACACATCCTACCACCAAGTGTCATGGAAAGCAGTTCAGGCATTTTATGAATAATCCTGCAAACTGACAAACAAACAAATGAAAGCACAACTTCTTCAGTGAAGACAATACATGATGAAGACTGGTGCTTGTGAGCAGGTGTGTCGAGCCTCAGTTTCCTCATTTAGCTGCTTCAGTTTCAGGCTTCTTGTTCTGTGAATGCTGTCTCACTCTCATGTCTCACTGGGACACGTGACCTGAACTGAGCCTTTTTATACTGAGTGAAGCTGATGAGACTCAGGTGCGGCTGGTTGTGAGAATCAGGAGCAGGTGGTTTTGGAAATCAAGTGATGACATGAGGGGGAAGTCTGAAGRAATCAACTGAGTCAACAGAGACAAGAGATTATTTTTTAACTACAGTAAAAATTCTTTGATAAACACGTGTCCACCGTTCACAACCATGTTTAGGAGCTTAGGTTCATTTTTAAAGTCTCAGTGCCTCTCAGCCCTGAGCTGAGAAAATGATGAGTTAATTTCTGTTTGTCAAATATTGTATTTGTTGGACAGGACAGTGTTCAGGACAATAAGGAACGTGTGTCACATGCTCCGTTTGGCTCATTGATGTTTATTTTCTATAGTCCATGAGACGATAGGATCAGTTCATTGGTCTTTTCATGGGTTTATATTTTCTACTATCTCAAAAATATAATACAGAATATTGGCTTATCATAATAGAAAGTTATGAAACTGAAGGAAAATGAGAGGGACCATTCTCTTTACAACCTTTGAACGCCTCATATCACAATAATTCTGTACAACCTGAAATAAAGGGTTATTTAACTCAATGAAACAATATAAATGATCAAATCAAACATGTGTTTTCATCAAATTTTGCAAAACCAACATACCGTGGAGGAAGACAGAGGCCCTTAGCTCTCTGGTACAAATAGATTGAATGATTGCATGTATTTGAACAGGATGATACAAACAACAGTCTCGGAGCCGTCTGCTGGAGGTGATGATTTCAGAGGGTTAAATTCTGCTTGAGCTCTATTTAGCTCAACTAACACACATTCTGGCCCCTTACTCTTCCAAATGACCGTCTATAGCCTGTCCATCCGTCTCTGTTTAAACCCGACATCACACCTCTCGGCCCCAACGGTAGATTTTGTAATGGAAGCGGATAAGAGGAGCCAAGAAATCAAGTGTTCTGATAATCTAGTCCAGCACAAAGTGCTGCCAGGAAAACCGAGCCCGGTTTCACTGTAGCGCCAAATCCCACCCCCCACCTCCCCATGCGCTCTCTCTCTTCTCAGGTGCAATTCAACTATCTCTGGTGGTCAGGAGTCAGGCTCCTTCAAAAGCCATAAGTGGTTGATGGAGCTGTATTTTACAGACCATTGTAGGAGAGCCAGGGGCCGGCTCCACTCAGATACGATCTCCCATCAAAGTGGAGAGAAGTGTGCGATGCAGGTCCACAGATCTCAGGGGACGGAGGGGAAGGGGAAAGACGGGGATGAGTAAGAGCGCTGCCTTGCCCTGACACATCGCAACACGTATAGATGAAAAGTTCACGACAGAGCAAATCGCATCCAACACCAAACTCTCAGAGTTTCACTTTTTGTGACGCTGTTTTCACTCTATCGTTACATCTGTGTATCTCTTTCAGTCTCCTGCTCCGTATCTCTTGCAAATTACCGCTCTGTGTCTGTGACGCTCGCTCCAGCGCCCGATTGCTCTCATTTTTTATTCTCTTTGTCCTTTTTACCTCGTGGAAGTCAGCTGTAGCAGCCTTGTGTGTAATTTCTCCAGCGCTTGTTGTCTGATTGTATCTCCCCTCGTTTCTCCCCTCCAAGCTTCCGCCCCATCTGGTGGAGTTGGGTGCTCTGCCTGTCTGACAGAGATGTCACAGGAGAGCTGTGTTTATTAGACTAATGGAATGAGTGAATAACATTGCCCATCCACCCCACCCCCCTCAGCCACAGGGCCCACCACCCGGACTCGCTCGGGTGGCACCGGCAGCCATCACCGTGGTTGTCGCTCGCCGCTCAGCCTCCGCCGCAGCAGCTGCAAATAATCGTCTCCAGCTCAGTAGCCGCACTAATAATCCTCCAGTATAATCTTCAATTAGAACCGCAGTGCTAATCTCTGACAGGAATAATCGTGGCGTTTTTTTTTGTGTGTGTGTTTTTGCATCAGTGTTGCTCACAAATGTGCTTAGGAGCCATTGGTGTGTTTGTGAGGGGAAGTAAAGGTCCACTGATTGACAGCAGTGTGTGTGTGTGTGTG